ATCACCACCGCAACGATTATGATCCTCATTGATGTTCATGTGCTTTGCTCCCCTTAATGAATCTCTTTCAACTTGCTACATCCGTAAAAATGTGATCATGTGTGATAAACATGATCATATATGTGGTAAACATATCGTGAGATAATCACTTAAGCTATGATAACAGATCACATTCTACTTATAATGATATGCGATAGGCATTTGTGATCGTTATGATAGACAGCCGTTAGAACACATGATAATATGAACATTGACGGTACATGGAATAGCACGCAATCACAGCTATAAATTGCTTCTTAAGCAATAAATGCGTGTGCTCCATTCTGCTCAATTATTGAATCGCAAAATTGGAATAATTAAAATTGCGTTCGCAGTTCTTTCAGAGACGTGTATTTCCTCCAATGACTGTGGCAGCCGCAAGGCGAGAATCACTGAGTATCGATGAATCCCCACCGCCGCCGCCGATTATTCAGCATCCAAAACGCAAAGTGCGCATAGAGCAACACGAGCGCAATCGTTCGGTGGCCACATCGCCTTTACCAGTGAATCATGCTAGCACGAGCACATCAACGCTCAAAACGAACATTCGACCGGTGAGCAGCGGGCCCAGTCGACGTGCTAAACTGCGTAAGGATGTGCTGGGTCGGAGCAGCAGTTCGCCTGGAAAGCGAGATCTCTTCACACTGGTTGAAAATGGTTGGTAATTTTTTTGTACTTTGCTAGTAGCTGATCGTATGACTGATTTCCAAGATTTCAATAGTATTTGGTCAATGGTAATATATCGTTGAGTTAATTCACTATGGATTTTGAATTTGATAGAAAAGATTTCAATTAAACATGCGAACAGTTTGGTTTGGAGTGTCCTTGATTGATCACTCGCTATCTTTCTGAGCAATTCACTGAATTTGTTGAGATACAGGACGCATGCATTTCAACAATATTGAAATGACGATAATTCGATTGATCTACATCATGCAGAAACCACACTTAAGAATAATAACACTAACCGAACCTTTGAGCCTAAGCCTGACGTATCACTGCATCTATGTTAGTGTAGAATATAGAAATGACTGATTACATTCGTAATTTAGTGCCAGATGCTATCCAGTGGTATGTTGCGGGGACGAAAAAAAGTCGGGCACAGAGAATATTTGGACAAAATTTTAGAGCCAGGGAGTGAAAATACAGTGGGCTGGAAAAAAGTCAGGAATGCGTAATGAGGAACGGGGTCCTGAAATTCCCCCATGCCGGCAACACACCATTAGCCGGTCTCATACTTGAAACAGTCAATTTTAGCGGATAATATGGGCAATGAAAAAATAGCCGAAGTAGC